AATAAATGGTAACTATCATTTTTTAAGACATTGGTATATAAAAAAGGTTTCCAGCTGGGCATGATGGCACATGGCTGCAATCTCGGCACTCAGGAGGCTGAGGCAGGAGGATCTTGAGTTCCAAACCAGCCTGGGACACATAATGAGACCATGTCTTCCCCCACTACCACAAAAAAAAGGTTTCCAAGGCTGAAACATGACTATTAACATACATTTATGTTATATTATTGTCATTAGGTCTGGATATACTGTGTCAAAAATGCTAACATATTGCAGGTGCTCAATAAATAACTAATCTTTTTTAAACATTGATATAAAAAGATCTACAAGGCTGAAGGCCAGGCATGCTAGCTCACGCTTGTAATCCAGCTACTTGAGAGGCGAAGATTAGGAGTATCACTAGGCCAACCTGAGCAAAAAGTTAGTGAGAGTCCCATCTCAATCAATAAGGTGGGAGTGGTGGTGCATGCCTTGTGGGAGGCCTTAGGTAGGAGGGTCACAGTCTGAGGACCCTATCTGAAAAATGGCTAAAGTAAAAAAAGTGCTGGGGGTGTGGTTCAAGTGGTAGACAACCTGCCTAGAAAAATTTCCAAAGTTGAAACAAAAGAAACTTGGCTCTCACTTTGGATCTGTGGCTGTAGACTCAGCAAAGGAACCTCCACTTCCTGAAAAACAGTGACATAATACTGCAGAGAAGGACAAATCAGACTGAGCCATATAGAGAAGTGGTTAAGAGTCAAGGTTCTGAAGTCAGACTGCCTGGAGTCAAAAACCAGTCCCCTTCCTAAGCTTTGTGAACTTTGGCAAGTTTTAAATGAAAATAGGTGTGTATTGTACTTACTAGGCCCTGCCACACAGGTGGTACTCATTAAGTGTTAGAAACTATTATGACTTTATTTTTTGTGATGCTAGGGATGGAACCCAGGGCTTCACACATGTTAGGCAAGTGCTCTACCACCAAGCTACAGCCCCAGCTCTTGACTGTTTAGTAATTGTTATTCTACTACTGGAGGGGAAGGCAAAAATTCTGTCATATGCCTGTAATGCTAGACAAATCAGAGGTCTTCATCATTCCCACTTTATCTAAGTAAAATTACAGGTCATAACACCACCGTACTCTTGTCAATTTCTTCATGAATTAAGTATTTCAGAGTAAATTGTTTGCGCAAAGTGAAGCAC